AACCTGCATCCAAAGATCCAGTATTTGCATTTGAAGCGTAGTGTGTGTACTCACATGTACCTAAAGGTCTAGCTCAAAAGTTGTTGAGATTGAATTCAAGTGACTGACATCGTTGACTGTTAATGCGTCGATTTCACGTTATTGACCACAATGACTTGTTCATTATGTTCGCTACGAACGTATATACTTTTGTACATGATGATATACTTGTGTATCTCATGTTTCAAGTGATCCATTTAATACATGATAGTATACTTATGGATGTCATGTTTCAAGTGATGTATTTAGTACATAATAGTATACTTGTGTATCTCATTTTTCAAGTGATACATTTAGTACATGATAGTATACTTGTGTATCTCATTTTTCAAGTGATACATTTAGTACATGATAGTATACTTGTGTATCTCATTTTTCAAGTGATACATTTAATACATAATAGTATACTTGTGTATCTCATTTTTCAAGTGATACATTTAGTACATGATAGTATACTTGTGTATCTCATGTTTCAAGTGATGTATCAAGTACATGACGGTATACTTGTGTATCTCATGTTTCAAGTGATACATTTAGTACATGATAGTATACTTGTGTATCTCATTTTTCAAGTGATACATTTAATACATAATAGTATACTTGTGTATCTCATTTTTCAAGTGATACATTTAGTACATGATAGTATACTTGTGTATCTCATGTTTCAAGTGATGTATCAAGTACATGACGGTATACTTGTGTATCTCATGTTTCAAGTGATGTATCAAGTACATGATGGTATACTTGTGTATCTCATGTTTCAAGTGATGTATGAAGTACATGATAGTATTTTTGTGTATCTCATGTTAGGCATCCATTCAACACAGTGGTATCGGCAAGTCTTAGAGCTGTTGGTAATATTGTGACTGGTGATGATACACAAACACAGGTAAGGACCTTGAGGCTTTAGTTAGAAACAAATCATTTGGTAAAAAAGTCAGTAAATCATATTGGTTTCCATTAACTTAATACGCAAACTAAAATACACTTTTCAGGCTTTCCCGTCTCCTGCATAGTGTTATACAGTAGGAGAAATAGGATTCCAGATTCGATTTTTTAATTTTCAAATTCCAGGTTTAGGTTTGCTGTTTCTAGGCTTCGTGCTCTACAGTAATGTCGTTATCTGTTTGGCTAAATTACTATCATATATACTTTCATATTTAACTGTAAGATTCTGATAAGTGCTCTCTTTTTTCTCTCTGCTCAGGTTATTTTAAACTGCAATGCTCTACCGAGTTTGCTGCGTTTGTTGAGCTCATCTAAGGAGAGCATACGAAAAGAAGCTTGTTGGACGCTATCTAATATCACCGCTGGTAATCGTGTTCAAATACAGGTTTGGAAATTGATTTACATAAAATGATGTAACATGTCTTGTTACTATACCTGAGTACATCACAACAACGTGATGTTATTATCTATGATATTAAAATATGAAAGAAACTAGAACTGTGTTTTGAAATATCATCATAGTCCACAGTTGATTGTAGTTCAGTTGGTTGAGCATTGAAGACAATGATTATCTTGTTACTATACCTGAGTACATCACAACAACGTGATGTTATTATCTATGATATTAAAATATGAAAGAAACTAGCGCTTTTCTTTCAGATGCTCGGTGAATTTAGACTGTCAAAATTGTAGTTCGGGTCGTCGCTTTTTCTGATTGTACAACCATCAAAATAGTCAATAATTAATACCACGTAATTTAGTAAATGGTTTGAACCCGAGTATCGTAACATGTTTGTAAATGTAGATCGTCAAGGTTGGTATAGTCCTGAGAAGGACTGTTTTTGTTGTTGTTGACTTACGTTTCGACAACATTAGCAGTAGTCATCTTCAGAGTCAAATGAAGATGACTGAAGATGACCACCACTAAGGTTGTCGAAACGTCAGTCAACAACAACAAAAACAGTCCTTCTCAGGACTATACCAACCTGGACGATCTACATTTACAAACATGTAACCACGTAATTTATCATTATTTATATGTTAAAATAGATGGTGATTGATGCAAACATTATACCAATGTTGATTGAAATATTAAGCAAAGCGGAATTCAAAACAAGAAAGGAAGCGGCATGGACCATTACAAATGCTACATCTGGTGGTACTCCGGAACAAATCAGGTAATTTTATTTCTTAATGTCTTGATATGATTGGACTGTAGGATTTCTGCGAATGAAGCTACGTGTGCAAACGCACTCAAACATATTCACTCAATATGTCTTGCGCTTGTTGAGTGATGTTTAGGGATGTGCTCAAACCCTCTCACAACATGTTGAGACTACGAGATGAAATATTCCACGATGCCCAGCAACGGCGCCATTTTTACAATAATATACGCTGTACAGTGCGCATGCGTTAACTTAATGCTATTGAGTGCATTGAACTAAAATACATGGAACGCTATCTGAAATAAATAATTGAAGCCAAATCTTACACCCAGACACGCGTGTTTAGTGTTTCAAGATTCTCTCGTGGAGTGAAAATTGATTGATTACACACGCGTTTCTGGGTGTAATCTCGCGTGTATGGGTGCAAGATTTGGCTTCAAAAAATTATTAGGATTTTCTATAACAGGTAACGTTCCATGTATTATAGTTCAATTGTTGAATGAGCTGTTCAAACGCACTCAACAATGTATAGGCACGCATCAACGAGCGCACGCACGCTTTTGTTCAGCCTCAATCAGGTGTTATCAATGCCGGACTATGATCTCTAACGAATGAAGACAAAATAGTACCTACTCTGCTTATAAACGCTTGTTTTTATCTTGAATATCAAGAAAGAGATGAAAATTTTAAGAAATTGTTTTGTTCAGTATCTTCTTTAGTTTTCTACTTTTCATAGATATTGTTATAAAGTATCAGCATCACTACGTTGTTGAGTCCTGTTAAACTGCAGGCTCATAACAATGACCAGTCTCAGTGTTTGAGGAGTGTGTATTATGTCTTTTAAGATATCTCGTTGATCAAGGCTGTATTCCACCTCTTTGCGATCTTCTTACCGTTATGGACATGAAGATTATCCGTGTTGCACTCAACGGTCTCGAAAATATTTTGAAAATTGGCGATTTGGACGGCAAGCTAAGCGGGGAGACAAATAAATATGCGCTTATTGTGGAGGAAAGTTATGGTGAGTGTTTTAGTGCCAGTCCTTCTTCACTCGGAAGAACAACAGTGTTAATGAGAATTCTTGTTGGTTCTAGAAAATTTATTCCATTCATTTTTTCAGTGTAAAGTTGTAGTACAAAGTTTGATCTTTTAACTACTGTTTTCGATGCCTTTTTTAAGTAAATAAGCACAGAAATGTTTGCATGTTATGAATAAAAAACGCTCTTGCTTTGCTACTGCATAATAATACAATTTTTATGATATAAAAACTGAGATGATTTGTTTCTAAAACAGGTCTCGACAAGATCGAGTTTCTTCAAAGTCACGAAAACGAAGAAATTTACAAGAAGGCTTTTGAAATACTCGAGAATTTCTTTTGTACAGAAGGTGATGAAGTGGAGCAAATTGTTCCACACACCAACGATGATGGACAATTTCAATTTGCACCGAATCTTAACATTCCTCAAAACGGTTTTGAGTTTGAGCACGGTCCTTAAATGTTAGAATACCCCCTAAATTATTGACAGTTAAAATCCATACTGTTAAGAGTGAGACCCCCTGTGTGTGGAATGATCGTTGAGTACCCCTTGAATGAGGATGAGATAAAATGTTAGTTTGAGAGAGAAATACCAAACTCTTTGAGAAATATACGGATAATTTTACGAAAGTTGTGAAGGGTTGCACGAAAGGATATGGAAGGTATACGTGAAGATATGGAGGATAAGAAAGGATATGGCGGATATACGAATGGATATGGAGGATGTACGAAAGGGTATGGAGGATGTACAAAAGGATATAGAAGATGTGCGAAAGGATATGGAGGATGTACGAAAGGATATGGAGGATGTACGAAAGGATATGGAGGTGTACGAAAGGATATAGAGGATGTACGAAAGGATATGGAGGATGTACGAAAGGATACGGAAAATAATTCGGAAGGATGTGAAGCTATACGAAAGATTATGGAGGATAATACTAAAGGATATGGAAGTTCAAGCGAAAGAATGTTTAATAGTTTATAAACGCATATAAAGAATTATAACAAAATAAGTGTGACAGTAAATGTAATATGAATGTGTCGTGTGATTGTAAAATGAATATTTCATGTTTGTAAATTCTCTTAACACATTTGATGTATGAAGCAACAGTTAAAATATTCCAGGATTAATTGCACAATAATAAAATATTTTGCTACTCTATTTAAGCGAAATGATGAACAACGTCTTGCTTTCGACGGTACGACAACGATGTCGATAAAAGCGCGCTGTTTTATAAATAAAGTGTATGACAAGGGCCTGGATAAATTATTTCACTTCCTAAAATTTGAGATTTTGTCATGGTGAAAAGTCGAACACCTACATAAGAGCTCTAAAACTATTTCAAAACTACGAAATGCATCGTTTCTTTTAGTTTTTGTTTTTAAAACAATTCTTCAGAACTATTAGATTATTTTCGCCATTCAACATGACAATGGCTATCTTAATAACAATTCCTAAAATTTCTCGTTAAAAAGAATCAAATCGCATTCAACGGTTGGTCTTAAACTTCCAAATGATATTGTTTACAGAATACACAGATTACAATATAATCAGATTAACGTTTGGATAATCTTTGTTCTAAATCTACTCCATATTTTCATACATGCACGCGTAAGAAATACAACGCCCGGGGGCAGCTCGAGCCACTTAAGTTTTTAAAACATGAAAACTGGCCACCCCCTCCAAACATTCCAAATAATCATACTATTTTCTTGTAAAACATATAATTTTTAAATTCAAAGGAATTAATTGTAAATAGTTGAAAACCAAAAATTTTCGATGAAGTTTTATCTCCCCCCTCCCCCCCTCCGTAGATTCTTGTACTTCTAAAATTACAAAATAAACCACTAGAAAATATCAAATTGTTCAATAAAACTTCATTATCACGGAATTCGCGTTGACGTCAGCAGTTTGTGGGCCTTGAAGGAGAGAAACAATGAAGAAGTGAATGAAAATGATTCTGTTAATAATTTCACTGGACAAAATAGGATTCAAAAGTACACCACGGAAACGGAAACAACTGAAAATCTGAAATTATACTCATACGAATAATTTTCCTCCAAAGCCGTATAAATTTCAATGGATTAAAAACAACATCCTGTACCTCCTTTTCATCTTCGTTTATCAATCCATCGACATACACAAGCTGATATTGCTTCGATTTCATCTGCTTCGGTGTCTTTTTAAGAAAACTAAAACTTGACGCTGTTTTTTTAACTTTGATGAGTTTTTGCATCTGTTCTTTTGAAGACGACGGGTCAAAAAGTATTAAACTTGGAGTTCTCGTTTTTGCGTGATGTTCTTCGTAACCAACAACCAGACGACTATGACCTAGTCAAAACCGTACGTGAATTTGATGCAAGGATAGTTTCAGACACTTTACTACAGTTTAAAGACACTTAACTAAAGTAATGTACTGAAATTTTTTTATTAGAACTAACACAAGCATTTTAACTGAAAACTTCGTCTTCATAGTTTTATAAACTCGCAACAAATGCTACATATTTATTCATCATTACATCCAAAGCTGACCGAGGATTCGGGGAAGATTTTGTTTTTAAATAATTTAAAAAGACTCCGAACTGTCAATGTTTTTTATTTGTTACTACAAACACCGACATCTTAGGTAGATGATAGTGTACGAAATTTTCAAATAGTTTAAAGAACAGCACATGCTCATTGGTATCTAAAATTCTCCCCAATGCTTAATCTGTTATTGCTAGCGGGAGTTTCTTTCCTTTAACTTACGCAGTTCTATCACATTTACCTTGATGCTGTATGTAAACAGGAGTCTGATGCGAACTTCCAGAGAAGTATTCTTTGAACCAGTCGTACATCAACGGATGTGTTCCGTCAGATTCCGTCGCACGGTGAAAATCAACGATAATTGATCTGTCAAAATCAAAATAGAATAACCAAAGTAGGCTTTTAAAGGTTACTGACGTTTTGGAGAGCCAGTCATAAGGAGGGCTTTTATTGGTTACTGACGTTTGGAGAGCCATTCCTAAAGAGGGCTATTATTGGTTACTGACGTTTGCAGAACCATTCCTAAAGAGGAATTTAATTGGTTACTGGCGTTTGGAGAGCCATTATGAATGGAAGCCGTTTTCAGATTCTAAAGTGACAATCTTGAAATTCAATAAATGGATAAATATATATCGCTCATAACAGTTTTGAATTTTGACCTAAGACTGTCATTCGAGTCAGAGTCAGTTTAAACTTCCATATATATATGTATCGTGCAGTCGTCAGTACTGCACAACCTTATCAAGATTAAAATCTTTTAAATTAATCAAGTTAAATTCGTACTTTATGCCAATGAACCTCAAGAAAACAGCAATTTCCGTTGCTCCTATCCATTTCTTTCTCTTCAATAGTTTGTGACCAAGTTGTGCAGCACCTTGTACATCAAATCCTAAAAGACAAAAAGTTATAGAAGGGAAAAAATTACTACCTGGCCAGCAGACCGCTCAACCATTTGTTTACTTCATCTAAGATGAAAGAGTAAGTTTTATTGAATCATTTACCATGATGCCATGCATTTTCAATCCACATCTGAATGGTTGGAATTGATGGAACTTTTTGACAAACTAAAATCCAGATAAAATTATTGAAATTTACATTTCAGGAATTTGAGGGCTTAAAAAAAGAAACACATTCCAAAATAATTTGAGGGTTGTACATTCTCAGGAGCTGGGACCAACTTCTTAGTGTTTCTATTTATGATAGATAAAGCCCACAATTTTAGTCAGACCAACTCTTTTGCCCTCCATCAGTTTCTTGACAAACTTTTTATACATTTAACAAAACATTGGATAACCCCCCCCCCATAATACACACACACACCCCTATTGTGCACCAATCAATACACTCCATTTTCAAATCAAATAGCAATGGGGTGCATCCTCTTACTTTTGGCAAGTGTATTTTTATACACATCCAATCGAATCAATGCGGAAAGTAACATCTGCAAGTTTCTGTAACCACAACCCCAGCTGCGATCAAAATAGCTGTTTGAAAAATGATCTGTTGCACAACAGAAATGAAAAGAATATCTTGGATGTGGTCCTGTTGCTTGGAGATTCTTTTGTAGACTTTCTAAAACACCTATAGGATTGGGAATTTGTTTAAAGTTCTTCACATCAGGAAAGACGTATATTTAAAAATAAATTGCAATAAATCATTGAATTACACGCTGAAATTTCTTAACCTGTGGTACATGTCGCCTATCTTCGCTGGTAAGATGAAAACTGAACAATTCATTCTTCTGGGAACTACACTTGTAGCTTGGTTGCAATGAAGTGCATTGCTCTGAATTCTCTGATGAAGAACACATGCCATAGGTTTGCTATCAAGCAATGAAGACAGACATTAGCACCATGAACAATCTTGTAGAGTGCTAGCAGGGGAGGTCTGGGGGCCATCATCTCCCTAGCTGTTGATTGGAGGGGCATGGAAATAAAAATGGGCAGTCAAGTTTTGAATTTGGGTAGGAAAAATGCATTTGAAATTATACAGTTGGTAATATTTCATCCCTCAAAGTCCAAGAAATGACATTTTAGAGCTTCTGAGTTTAAAAATTTTCTTGTTGAGCTTGGCCAAGACTATCATCGTATAACTTTGCATCTGCAGTGCATTGTTCAAGCCTTTGGCTCTCATTTTTAAGGTGGTATGTCTTCTGGGATGAAATTTCTGAGCAAATCGACTGCCCACCCAATCTTCAGCCCCAAAAATTGTTCCCAGCATGCCACTGGTCTTATCGTGTGACAAAATACCTCAAAAAACAATCTCATTGGTAAGATTTTAGCTAAATTAATATTCATTAGAAATTCATAAAAAACAGAATTTTTGTTCAGATGCTACAATTTTTTTTCCCCGGCCTCAAAATTTTCATATTTTGAATGCATGGTAAACAAAATACACAACCAGATAGAACGGACACATAGTTTACTTGCAGTTTTTGAAACTCATCATTGCCCTGTTGACTTTGTCTAGCGTATTCCAAATCTTCTTCCTCTTGCAAAATTCTAGCCAGCATCTCATCATTTATTTTTTCTTTTGAAAGAGGCTCTGAGATAAGAAGAATTTAATTTTCTTTGTACATTCAAAACAATTTAGGCACAATTATACCGTGTTAATTGCACGCCACAGTTGTATAATAGATGGTAAACATGGATGAAAATCAAAAGCATAGAATAAAACTTTCATGGGGTAAATCATACATACATTGACAATTGTCTTCAGTGTGATATCCCAAATGATACAATTTAATGTTAGTGGGAAATTTTCTCAACATATAACAAAAACAGAGATCTAAATTCTATATTTCTGAGAAAATGAATCACAAAGTTTTGCTGCTTATATCACAGAACTACACTTGCAATCTGCTATATACACGACACTATTGTCATCATACCGAAATCTGAAGTGCTCTCCTCGTTAAAATGTGCGTTTACATGCACTTCCATTGGTTGCAGTTTATCAACAAACTCATCACACACAGGACAAATGCTGACATTGTCATTCTCGATGACTTTCGAAGCCCCATCCATCAACAACTGTTGACAAAAACTTCTTAACTCTCCAGTAACTTTTGCATTATATAGTTCAATTGCTCGAGTTATTCACTATTTTGTTGGTATGAAGATCCCTCATCATAAACGTATGTTGTCAAAAGCTCAAAACTGAGCAGAACTTTGCATTGGAATTTTGAAATTTTGGAAGAGAAACGATTACGTCATTATGTAATAACATATGGAATTATTAATGAATTACTTATCATCTGAGGCCGACAATGAGGCTGGCTCGGTTAGCATTTAACACCGGGTGGTTGCACCACGCCAAAAAAGAATAATTCTCCTATTTGAGCATGATCAGCGATCACTGTGTCCTATGGGATTCAGAGTCCCACGCATCAGATAGAAATTTACTAAAGCATTGCCCCAACCTCAAGAGGGTGACAATCTTGAATTATGTGTTTGACTTCAACTAAATCAGAATTCAAAAATTATTGTCGTGCGAGCCAGTCTTTGAGTTAAGTAACATTACATAGCTTTCACAAACAATTGGGAACACATTTAAATGTACATATAAAAAAAATTGCAAAGGAGCTAACATCGACTACAAAGGAAGAAGATTTTCAAATTGTTCTGGAAAGATTCCACGGTCAACAAGCTTTAGATGCTCAACTGGAAGCGCACGCTGAGTTGTATTGGGCAACATTTTCTCAACAAATTTTTGGAAGTAGTCAGTCACCGATTTGTGGAGGTAGTCAGTCACCGATTTGTGGAAAGTGATAACACGTCAAAAGATCAAAGAAAGGAATAAAGGCGACGACTGGTACAGGAAACGTAATAAGAATGACGTAACTTGCATTATGACGTTTGAAAAGGACCAATGAAATTGCTTGGAAGCGTGATGGGTAATTTTTCTCGAGACCCCCGCGTGTGAAGATTAACTATTTACTAGACGCGTCCGCCATTATCTTGAAATTGGTAAAGAATTTGTTGGTGATTTTTTACCAAATATTTCGTTGAAATGTCGCGAAGTAAGACAAGACTTTACTTCGGAAAGTTACGAGAAGATATTAGAGAAAGGGATGTCGAAAAATTTGTTCGTGGATACGGTCGAATACGAGATATAAGTCTGAAAAGAGGCTATGGTTTTGTGGTATGTGTTGATGCATTTTCAGCCGTTGAAGGCGACAAATATATATAATTAGTGTTTTGGTTGCGAATTTTTGCTGCAATTTATTGATATAAATTTGAATACTAAATTTTTGAAAACGATTGCGATGTGAAACTGTTTGATGAAAAAACCTTTTATCGTAAAGTTATGTAGCCTCGTAAAATGCTACGTAATGTTTCAGTAATAATCAAAATTAGCCTAACCGTATTTAATTGTCGCCACTTATTTGATATTGCAGGAATTTTATGATGAAAGAGATGCGGAAGACGTGGTTTGGGAGTTAAATGGTAGAGAGTTACTGGGAGAACGGTAGGATTGTAAAGAGAAAATGTGAAGTTTAGGAATCGTATTTAATAAAGAAAGACTAGATTATGTTTATGGCTAATGGCTTTTTTTTAGAGTCATTATTGAACATGCCAGAGATCCTTCTTCAAGACGAGATTTTTCCTATGGATTTAGAAGAGAAAGAAGTCCTGATAGATATCGTAGCTCAAGGTGAAATTTTATAACAATTTACTATTTTCTCAAGTGAAGAGAGGGCATGCTTTAGTTCGCATAAGTTTTCGTTTTCTTCTTGTTAATTTTTGTTTTTCTTATACTATGACTGGGAGATATTTTTTAGAAGTGTGCTGCACTAAATGAAGTCCTCATTGCTTCCTTGTAAATGCTTGGTATATTAATGTTTCTCTACCCCTACACCCAAGACTAGCAGTGCGAGTGTCTCCCCTCCCCTCCCCTCTGAATCCAGGGTGCATTCTGTTGTCAAAAGTGCTGAGATATCCTGTGTCGAGTTAAATGCAGCTTGGTGTAACGGCATACAAATGTTTGCATAGGATAACTTGCTCATTAATAATTTTATGCTAAAATATATTTTATGCTTTGTCCTAAAATTAAATGGTTGAAAATATTAAAAGAAGTAAAAGTCTTCAAGATTTTTGCCATAGTGTACGACAGGGGTTCAGCATGTACCTTGCTGTGCAGGTTAGCTTATGTTGGCATAAAAAAAAAATTTTTTGACATATGTTGGTGTTTACCCAGAATACACCCTGACCTCACACAAACAAATTCATCCTTGCATATTTTTTTTTCGGGGGGGGTGTTTAAATTGTAAATGTTTACATTGCTTATCTGAACATCAACTTTGCCAATTACAAATATTTAATTTATGCATGAATGCTTTCAGGAAAAGTCGAAATATACCTGTCCGAACTGATCATCGACTGCTGGTGGAAAACTTATCGAGCCGTATAAATTGGCAGGTTTGTCAACCTCGATGGAGTTTTGTACTTTTTTCACTTTTCAATGCAACATATTTTAAAATTTTCCTTGGGATCATTGTTCATTTTTCAATTTGATCAGGATAACTTGGAAGTGCTCGAATAAAATAGGAAATTGAGTAGGATGTCTAAATTATTTCCAATAATCTGGTATTTAATCCTTACTACAGTGACCTTAAAGTAGTGAGTACTTGCGATTGGTCCAATCCAAATGTCAGCCATATGACCAAATGTACGCCATTCCAAACATAGAAATTGTATGTCCGTGTACCCTGTCTTAAATACAAGGGTCCTGTCCTTAGACCAAGAGTTGTTCTACCATCCCGGCCATTCCATGTTCTCCATGTCACAAGGTCCGGCCAGCCTGACAGACCAACATCATCCAGTGCCTAGCCATTTCTGATTCTTATAAAACATGGCTTCCATAGGACAGTTCTTTCCGGTCATGTTTGTGTAACAGGTGTGATTGAATGGTGAGTATTTGAAATGGAAGGCTCGCACCTTGATGAAGAAGCCCCGTGATGTTCAGTCTCTGAGTTCAATCATGATTTTAATATAATGTGAAGTGCAAGGTCAAATTTTACATTTAATGTTAGAGACTTTTTTGGGCTAAACATTGAAGATATTGTTTTGAGAATTCTTGACGAAAAAAAGGCTAGATTTGCCCTGTGATATCAAAATATTCAACCAGCAAACAGATTCTCATAAATTTTGGGCAAGCATCTTGGTGAATGAAACAGACAAAAATAAGACTTAAGTAGCATTTGTTGACATGGCTTTGCCTGGCATTGCAACATTAAGTAGCATTTGTTGACATGGCTTTGCCTGGCATTGCAACATTGAGTAGCATTTGTTGACATGGCTTTGCCTGGCATTGCAACATTGAGTAGCATTTGTTGACACGGCTTTGCCTGGCATTGCAACTTTGAGTAGCATTTGTTGACATGGCTTCGCCTGGCATTGCAACATTTTTCCTGTTATAGGAATTGAAAGAGCTCTTTAACGATGCTGCTGAAGTGACTTTTTCTGATGCACACAAGCGAGAAAAGAATACTGGGTATGTTTAAAAGTTAACTATTTAAGCACAAAGTTTGCCATATGTATTTATAGAGGAATCAGTAAAAAACTCATATCAATAGGTGTAATGTTTTTTTCTCATACACCACTGGGAGCTGCTACAGGCAAGCGCTGCAAGCTTTACTTTATTTTTTATCCATAACCAACCATCAAATACAAACTATTTAGAAACTCATAAGGCCATACACCCCATAAGCTAAATAACTCGACAAGCTCGGACGATGCATCCATATATACGTATAACATAACCATGGGTGGCAGAAAAGGGGGGCTAAGGGGCTGAAGCCCCCCTAATAATTCAGATGGGTGGCTAAGTCTCACCTCCCCCCCCAATTCAAGAGTTACTTTCTCCAATATTTTCCCCGTAGTAAATTTTTATGTTTTGACGAAGGAAAATCATTAACTTAGATGGAAACTTATACACTGACAACCATTTTGAAAGCTTGCTTCTCCCATAGATTTTCATTTACTTGAAGTACTGGGAGTTAATGCTAGGAAGAAAATCGCACCAAATTTGTTATTAGAACATGGCGTAAATGCAATGGCAATATGGCGCAGTCTAAAATAAGTAGCTTTTTCACTAGTCTTGGACCGAAGCAAGAAAAAAAAATATTTGTGAGTTTGACAACAACAACTACAAAGGTTAAAATGCCATTCCCCTGCCAAGACATTTTTTATTATTCACCCACCATCCACCGACCCCCCAATGCAAAACATCTTCCGCCTCGACTGAACATAACTATTTACACCGGGTGGATTAGTGGTAATAGCACGGCAAAACAACAACAAAAACATGCATGCCAACCCGCACCACCTGACTCTCGGGCAGCAAGCGGGTGTGAGAAAATATTTTCCGCTTATTTCGTTCCTCCGCCAGCGGAAAATAATACTTAACATGTCAGCAGATCTTGTTAAATGAGTAATGATGTAGACAAAAGCTCGTCAACTGTATGTTTTCCTTGTTTTTCATTGTAGGATTGTGGAATTTGCAACAAAGGATGACATGAAGACCGCATTGAAAAAGTTACAGGGACAAGAAGTGAACGGGAGGAAAATCAAACTGTCTGTTGTATGTTACTCCTTGTGTACTATTATGTGCTCAATTTTTTTGTATTGCAAAGAGGTACAGTACTGCTCAGAAGTAACTTAACACTGCCTTCGCGTTCCGGAACGCGTTGTAAAAAATTTAGGCGACACGTTCTGAAAATTTCCGAACGCAAAAACCCAAAAATCGAACGCATTTTGGAACGAGTTCGGAACGCGTTTTCGGTAAACTTACTTCTGAGCGGTACTGTATTTACCCTGTTGTTTTGCTTTTATATGTAAAGTGGTTGATTGTAGCGCCTGCCATCTTAGTAAAATACCTAAATACGTACTAATTTACAAAGCTTTAATGAAAAATTTCGTGCGTGATGTAAAAACCCATTTTCCTCTGAGAAAAAAGTTTCTGCGCGTAAATAGACTATAGAAAGCGTAGTAAAATTTAATCCTGTTTTATCATTATTGAAGATTCGTTATCTGCTTTTTGTTTAGGAAAAAGTTGGTGGATCTCGATCACGCTCGAGGTCAAGGGAACGAAGGTATTTATAGGAATCATCATACTTCATTAAATCTTACGTCCGTTAAAAATTCAAGATTTAATGCACTTGGTGTAATTCGCTAATCTACATAGCGTTAATCGCGTTCAAAAAAATTGAAATGAGAAAGTGAAAATTTCATTTTTAAGCATAATTGACTTCTTGAACATAATAAACATATAACTTTTAAAGTGCTTGTATCATGTTTTATCATTTCTACCATTTAGATTGTTCAGGCTATTTTAAAAAATTTTGCATTATATTTTATAGTTCGAAAGTAGGATTTTGCTGTATATTTTTGCACTCCAAGTTGAAAAATTGACCATATTCATTGTTTAACCGCCAGTATAAAAAAGCTGGTAACTAATGTTATTTTTGACGTCACATCAGGACTTTATCTGTTGTATTTTGTGTAAAATTGGATGTTTTTGAGTATCCTCGACACAAGATGCTACACACGTGTGTAAGGCACAATGTAGCTATGCTTTTGAGAAACTATGAGTAAAATACAGTGTTTTCTCAAAGCGTGTTCACGAAACGACGTCCGATCTAAGGCCCTGTTTACACGAGACCGGAACGAATTCAAACCGGTACCAGCTCGTGTCGGTTATAGTATCATTTATAGTAAATGCTTACATGGGACCGTTACGAAAATAACTCAGAGCGATCTGAAGTCGTACCGTCTACTGAACCGATCCGACTGAGTACAGAGCTGTATGAATTAACACCGGCACCAATGTAAACTCAAATTTACGTTCAGACCGCTCTGAAATGGCAGCAACGCATGCCTACAATAGCGAATTACAAAACCAAAATACCCAGCAAGTGTAAAACTAGCCTACAAGGGAGGCATTACGCAAATAATGATTTTTACTGATTTAGTGCCTGTCCCATGTAAACATGCAACAAATGTTAATTTTCATTCCGGTTTCACTTCGTTCCGGTTTCTTGAACGTAAACAGCGCCTAAGCTTTCGCCGTTGTTTTTTTAATGTCACGGTCAGGCAAATAATCACCAATTTGAGCTTTAGAAAATACACGAAGATCTAATTTTTGTATTATAAAATGTATTGGCAATATGTTTCAAACATCTTCTAAACTATCTACATACCCCCACTTGCAAAAACACGATACAGGCACTTTAAAAGGACCGATAATTGTCGTTTTTGAATAACTTTTTAACGAACGTTTTGTCTTTATCATACGAGACTCTGATTACACGGGAACCTTGACTACGTAGATATGACCGATGTAAGCTATTTACACTTCCGTTGACATTGTCGTAAAGATGACCAATTTCTTTCTTGTTGCATTAGTTAGATTCTGAAAAGTATGTTCGTTTGACTTCCATGTAATTTGTCTATGTTCAGATCTCGATCACCAAAGCGTCGTCGTCGCTCTAAATCAAAATCCAAATCAAAATCCAAATCAAAATCTAAATCAAAATCTCCAAAACGATCGCGCTCCAGATCTCGTTCTAAGGACAGCGGTGATGAAAAGAAACAAACGCCTTCAAGGTCAAGATCGAAATCAGAGGAACCTAAATCTAAATCTCGTTCCCAATCTCCCGAGGCAGAGCCAGAAGCATCGGCACAGGAAAGTGCGCGCGAGTCTGGGGACGAGAGTCCACAGAAAAATGGTGAAGATGAAAACGGGCAAGAAGAGGAAGAGGAAAACGCGGAATAAACTTAAACATGAATCTTTTATTACTATATTATATATCTATTTACTGCAGACTTGGTATTTTAAATTTCGCGTATTATATATGCCTTCTGTACATAGAACTTTCATAATTTTTCGTTCGAATTGTAAAGAATCTTGGCGCAAGTGGTTATGAGTTCATATTAGAATCAATTCGTTAACTGTCCGATACCTTTGTGTGATTCTTTACTTATGATAACGTAGCTCTGGGTTATACGGCCTTAATTAATTCTCGCGACAAACAAGATTTATTAACTTGTTCATAAAGCAACTAAAATGCAACGTAAAGTAGCTAGATTAGTGACGTCGCCAGACGGGGGGCAAGTCACCCTTTATATTCATTCAGTAGGGTGACAAGCCTCCCTTATATTCATTCAGGGGGACAAGCCTCCCTTTATATTCATTCAGAGGGGTGACAAGCCTCCCCTTATATTCATTCAGTGGGGTGACAAGTCTCTTATATTCATTCAGTGGGGTGACAAGCCTCCCTTATATTCATTCAGTGGGGTGACAAGCCTCCCCTTAAATTCATTCAGTGGGGTGGCAAGCCTCCCCTTATATTCATTCAGTGGGGTGACAAGTCTCTCTTATATTCATTCAGTGGGGTGACAAGCCTCTCATTACATTCATTCAGTGGGGTGACAAGCCTCTCTTTACATTCATTCAGTGAGGTGACAAGCCTCTCTTTACATTCATTCAGTGGGGTGACAAGCCTCCTGTATTTCTATTCATTAAACAATATCCGTAGCACGAATTGGTTCGCAGCCCAACCTTATTACGTCATAACCCGACATGTGCTGCAGCGACAATATTTACATTTTTTTTACAAAAAATTAACGTTTCACGAGCCGTTCTCGTCTTTCCATATGGTCACTACTTGTCACGATATCAGACTGTACAATATTCCTGACGCGATAGTGTCTTATTGATGATCTTATAAGGACCAGAATACTGTTGCATTAAGATAAGATTTAAATCCGAGAAAACTCAGGAAGTCGCGGAAACTATCGTAGAATCTGTTTTCCAAGAACCAGCTTACCAAGATGGAATTCTCGTGGTGTAAACATTTTAAACAAAAGAAAGATAGTTCCAGTCTATTGTATTCGCCTTCTTTTTCTTTGACGTAGGAAGATCACGGTCAACGAAATGTGAAAGAAAAGTATTGCGTTGTTTCAAAAATATGCACTCATCCGTATTGTCATTTATAACGGTGGCGCCGACAAGAAGTGCCAATCGCCCCTCCCCACCCTCCACATTGATATTTACAATATTTCTCTTATGTACGATTTTTTGTTAGTATTCTGTGTGAAATAAATGAAAAATCTTGGCACTGGGAGGTTAACGCCGATGAAAGAAATGATTTTGTGATAATGCTTAGAATAAATTTTATTTGGTACAAGTCAACAGCATTTGAAAATCAGGTTTAACTAGTGTTGTAGTTATGGAAAAGACTTGAAAACTAGAGACAGCTGAACGGAAGAACAGCGTACAGAAATTTGACTCGCTCGCGCGGTGTGGACATCAAAAATTAACTTCATGAAATTTACATAAGTTTTGCTCTTTAGTCGTTGTATTCGCACATTGTGAAAGAAAAATATTGGTGTCAATTTATTGATATTTATTCGTCTGCAGTGTATCCTTCGCAGAAATTATTCTCGCGAAAACGGACGTTCCTTATAGAAATACTGCTTGTCGTTTGTTAAATCTAGTTTTTGTAAAGGACAGTTATAGCATCTGATGCTTGGTAAATAAGAAATAAAAGCATTCAAACTTCGCTGCACTTGAATTGATAGCATAATATTAATATCAGTGAAGTGGGCACGTTGAATCGATAGGAAATACATATAACACGATGATCTTAAGTTCAATTTATTTGTCACGCGATCAATATTTCAGATTATGATGTCTTCTATTTTGGACAATTTTTCCTCACTAAAAGATGTCCACTGTCCACTGGAACGACATCCAGACGCTATTGTAATCTATTATTTTTTAATAACTATTCTGAGAAGTACTTTGTATGAAGCAGAACGTGTGGGTTGATGCTGACACCGGGACATTTAGGAACCACGTGCTTCACGCACACGCTTTAAAATTTAATAAAGAGAGTAACTGCACAGTTTCATTGTCTTTCAATGTGGCAAATAGTTAATTAACTATTACTAGCTTATAATTGGCCACATGAAATTTTTATAAGATCAGGATTTCTTCAATTGTAGCGCGCACGTTTACTTTATTAGCGAGAGGACGATTTTAATAATGATAGTCAAGGTGTCGTGATAGAAAAATACCCACTAATTTTAATTTTCAGCTTTTAAAAGGCAAACAAAGTGTTGGGTTTAGAAATTAGAGTTTGGTTGGATTGCCGTGGGAAGGCACGACAGTAAATCGAACACAAACAAATCTATCGAACCGGAAATGATTGAAATACACCACGCATAATATAAATGACGTGCATAAAATGCAATGTCATTTGCCGATCTAAATTGGATTTTGCCGTCATTGCATTGACGTTCACTCTACGAAGCGTCTGCCCTCGAAATATAACATGACGAAGTTTCGAAAGAGTTGAAGACAGTTTTACCTAAATGAGAACAACCAAAAGCCGTGTTTATGTAAATGTACTTCCTGTCAAATAGCTAAATGAGCATGCGCAATTAACCATGCGATTACTAAAGTCGAAATCAAGTGTAGATAAAGTACATCGCTGAACATTCACTCGTGGAAATTATCTGTCGTTTCGATTATTTTTTTTTCAAATTCGACAGAGACATGTCGAACACGACTGTGGACGACTGGCTACGGTCTTTGGGGTTGTTGAAATACATCAACCCGTTTTTAGACAATGGTTATGACGATCTAGATATTTGCAAACAAATTGGCGATGAAGATTTAGATGCTATTGGCGTGATAAACGCGAAAGATCGTAAAGATATTCTGGCTTCAGTGCAGAGTCTAAAAGAGCAAGGCGCTAATGCAGTGTATTTTCAACTAGAGGCTGAAACACCGATAAATACGCCAAAATTTCCCGTCGCAAGCGACCGCGAGAAATATAGGCGAGATGAACTCATCAGTAAAATGAAATCTTTGCTCACGGAGGACAACTGTTTTTTACCCGAAAAAAAGCCCGTGAGTATTGTTTTAGTCATGAGAAAGTACGCTTTCCATCGTGAATCCTTTTTAATGATTCTGATTGCATTTTAGTTTATTGATAATTTAATGATGTACAAAATAAATACGCTCGGAGTGTACGTGAAGGAATTATCATATGATAATAATAATAATAATGATAATAATAAGGATATGGGAATCATTTTCTTGTGAGTAATAGGCTTTTATTTAGAGATATTTGGTGCATTTTGCTTCCAAGTCTTGACGGCTTGCGTATGCAAATGTGTGACAAACTTCAATATTTGTATGTTTTGCTTTTGTCTTCTTTGAACTCTTAAACTTTGAAAGCCATTCATGGGATGTAGTGTCGATAGCTCTTTTTGTTACCTTATGTTATTAAGTCGAAATTAGCCGCGTTTGCTTTGCTTGTTTATTTACATAAATCCTCACGTTTTGTATCTCACTGAAATGCTCAAATTTTTATTGATGTGAGAAAATTTTAACTATTCATTTGTTCTGTTTTGATATTCTCGCTTCGTCGAAGTAAATATTCATGAAAAAAGTCCATTTTTAAACCAAGTTTCCGACGCTTCCGTACATGTTAATATAAATTCAGTGTTGTTTTTATTTCAAAACTTTTAAAAACAAAGACTTGTTTTCTTACTTCGCCCAACAAAGACAGCTTGAAAATCTTAAAAAGTTTAGAAATATTTGCCATTCTTTTATATCCCCTTGGTAACTCACTCGTTGTAATAGTGGATATTTATCGTCGGGAAAAGGTTGCTATCATCAAAGGTTGAGCAAATATTTGTCAAATAGTTGAATTGTTTTGATATGGATTTCATAAGACTTAGTGATCCCAACTTACCCTTTATTTTTATCCCTATCAATCATGCTTCCTATCCACTTATCACACCAGCTGCCACTGCTGATTATTTTTGAGAGTTTCCTGTTTACTATCATGGCAAATGACATAAACTCTGCCATATAAATCACTGGTTTCTTTACTAATATTGCACTATAGTTTTCTAATGGAAGTATATAGGTTAAAACAGCCATGACCTTTAAAACAAAGTCATATTGAACATTGGAAATTATTAGTCTAGTTCTGTTCTGCATATTTTACAACATTATCATGTAGATGTCTTTGGAAATGTGTTATTGTCAGTTAAAGTAAACACACCTTAATTAGCTCATCTGGACTAAATATTTGGGTTGCCATTCCCCAGCCAGACATATATTGTAGCATAGGAGTTACTTTACATAATTGAATTTTGCATTTAAACCCAAGTTCTACTGTGAAAAAGGAGTTTTAAACTAAACTGAATTTGATTTCTCTTATTCAATGTTTTTCTGCTATGCACATGCTTGGTACTGCACAGCAATGTTGATGTTAATTTTCCTTAGTTCAGTGTGTAGCTACAAATGAATGGATCTTTACAGAAAAGAAATAAGAAAAAATCATTTACCCCAATAAAAAGTTATTAATAATGCTATTTCCTGAAGATTATTTTACCCATTTCTCACCATTCTCATAACTTTTCATGTTTGTAGAATGTGGAACAAGATCCGCTCAACGATCTGGCTCAATATTATGCAGACCAGCTGTATACATATTTCCAAGATGTTAAAGATGTCTTGTTGTTTCTCAGACAGGAGGGAATGTTCACACAAAATGATCAAATGCGTGTTAGTATTTCATTGAATTATAATTAGGAGGCTTTGAGCTTTTCAACATTCTTTTTCTCTGGTCAAATTCTATGATAGACCCTAAAATATCAAATAGAAAAGTATTTCTCATAATTGTTCTTTCTCAGCATCGATCACCAAAATTGGCAGAGAAGATGAACAGTAAAGTATTGCAAGACTCAAGAGGATTGTCAAAAAGTTTAAATTCTTTGCCAACTGTAGAAAAAAATGGTGAGTCGAACTACAAGTTAAATGAGTCAAACTATGTTAAACTTCCTTCTACCTATCCTACCCTCTTCCTACAACCTTTTGCCATCATCCCAAAACTATTTTACTCCCTCTCACTCCCTTATACTCCTGTTCACCCCATCATAACCCCTTCTATGAAACTCTCTCTAAACCGTACTACCATTATAACAAGTTGATTGTCACAAGAATTTCTCACTTTATGTCTCCAAGAGCTTTTCGTACCTACAAAATCTTTAGGTGGATTCAAGTTTTCAGCTTTCATATTAAAGCTAGTGGGCTTCCCCATGGAGAAATTTAGGAATCACTACATTTGCTGTGGTGCAATGATTTATGCATGACAAATAAAGTGAAAATATTACAGCATGGTTATCTCCTGCCAAAATTTCAACCAAGCGATTTAACTAGTCTCAATTTTTTTACCCATGGTTTAAAAAAAGATCATTGTGTGACAGTCGAGCATTAAATTTTGCATCATTCGTAATAGTATGCAGGCAGCCTTTTAGATATATGTATTCCAGTGAATGGTTTAAATCAATGATGACATCATACATAATGATGTAATATATTCAAGTGAATTGTTTGAACCAAGGATGGCATCATACATAATGATATCATTCAAAAGTAATCCTGACTTCATTGACATACCTGTAGTTTAGAAAAAATCTGAGAAAAGACATAAAATAAGTGATCAGATGATTTGAAAAAATTGAACAACAGTGTATTATTATATGTATATAGATGTAGATTGTACATGTTAGTGCCTGATATTGGTGTTCACTAGCATTTCAAGATACTTAGTTGTACGTAGCTATGGTTTGACTCTGAACTACAGGACTGTACTAACCTGGATGATCAACATTTATAAACATGTATGTAGTACTATGTTCTATTCAATGACATTGCCATATCTTGACATAACACACCATTTTTTCGATGACTTAGATGGGATGTCGAATCTTCCAAATTTCTCCAATTACTCAAAGCATTAAAAAAGAACAAATATTTTCCTTGTGTATGTTGTTCTTGCAAAACCACCATTATTTTTCTCTACTTTGCCTTGCTTACAGGCCAGAGAAGCAAAAGTCAAAAATCACCAAAACATGGATTGGGTAGATTATTTGCCAGTAAGAAGAGCAAGAACTATCCTGTCCATTCGTTAAAAATAAGTGGACCTGCAGAAGTAGGAATTTTACCAACAAGAGTTCATATGAGTGAGGAAGACAGGAAGAGTCTGATGCTACAAGTAAAACATGGTGATATAACTCAAGAGGAGGCTTTAAATAATTTTTTAAAGTATGTTTTCAATTCTATTTGCAGCAGGGAGGGAGGGAGGGGGTGGGGGCGAGATATACCAGGGAGGGCGGACTTTCATCTTATTCTTGGTATCCATAGGTCATATCAGCTGCTCTTCTAGTCTATTGAGTGTTTTCCTGCCAAATATCAGTAAGAGTGAATAGGAGAGCAATTTATTTCGTGGGCTGATAATTATAATTTGACAGGAAGTGAGCAGATTTTCCGAGAGATATTCTACAGTAGTTGCGCACCCCTTGCGCCCACCCCCAGAAAGTCTGCCCTTGATTAATTTCTAACACGTCTAAAAGAACGTGTGCCAACCAAGATGCATTGCGCGCTTTTGTTTACGTTGACATCGTTAGTTTTCTAGCTAACAGCACACTAAATTCAATTACGTCACCACGTCGTCTATATTATCTGAAAAGTTTGCAAAAAAACATTGACTAAAAACCCTAATTTACATTATCATTGTTTGTCTAAGTTGCATTGACTACAATAACAAAATCCGCCATTTTCTCGACCCACAAAATGGCCGCCACGCTCGCGCAATGCATCTTGGTTGACAAGCATTCTTTAAAAGCTCTAAGCAATACTTTTCTAGCCCTCCCTCTACAGTTTTTCTTCATTATTTTACCGACTTTTATAGTTAGTCTCTCTTGATATTTTCCAGATATGAAGCGCATCAAGCAGAGAGCGAAGAGAAAGATGAGAAGGTAGGTCAAATCCCAATAAGTCCAAGTATAAACTGACAGCAATTGCCATTGTAGGTCTTTTCTGACTTCCCGCCGCTTTTGACTAAAATTATTAACCCTTAAATTGAGAACATGTGTAGGAAGAATACGTTATGGCAAAACAACCCAGTGCTTTCCGAAAAATATCACTTGAATTGTTCAAAATTTAGACTTGCTAATCCTCGAAACACAAGTACAATGCACCTTTTCGACGATAGACACACGTGCTCAGATTAGATTACAGAATGATTAGATTAGAAAACACAAGATCAGATTACAAATGATCAAATGAAAGCTTGAATACGGCCTGACTTAGATGTAGCTAAAAAATCGGGTCTTGAATACTCTTTGGTACGGTGGTTTCTTGCAATGAAATGCATATTACATGCATGTACATTATTAATTGGACGGCTGTCTCTATGTGATCAAAAGATGTCCTCCGAATCCAAAAAGTGCAATTTTTAATCGCAAAATTACTCGAGAAGTGAAGTTTAAAAAGAAATTTACTATCCAAAATGAATTAAAATTTTATGACATAACGGTTCAATTTAGACGGTGCGAAGGGCTTGGCTTATTAAATGTTATCTGCGTAAAAACGATTATAAAAAAGTAGATAAACCCTTTTCTTCACGAATCCTATGGATGCTTTCGTTCTTGATGAGAGAGTAGTATTGTATAAGAAGGCTGTAGTTCATCACGAGATAGTTATGAGAAAGTTACAATGTAAAAGGTAACAAGTAAAAGACATATAAACATGTTTGGAGTTGGTTTAAATTATAAGTCAAAAAGGCAGAAGTTGCTCGAACCATTGCAGTATCGAACCAGTTGTTCGAACCACTGCAAGATTAGAAAAGATAAAATTCAAAAGCAAAAAAAAACCCGTTTTTGGTCCATGCTTCCCGATACCTTCTTAAGCGCAAGGCACTAGAACGCCGCATGTTAATGTTTCGGTAGGAGATTTCGGCCCCTCCACGCTATCCTACTTGGGAGATTCCAATAGCAGGCTTCCTCCCATCAGGCTACTGCGCATGCCCAGATGATTTCTTTAATAATTTGCGACCAAGTGAGCAGTTTAACCCAAACGTAGTGCAAGTATGTACAGTTGGTCGTTGCCATGACTATGAACAATTAGTCGAGTGGACTGCGCATACTCACACGCATGCGCAGATGATTTCTCTACTAAACTGTTACTAAGCATGCTATTTACTTCAAAATTGGTGCTAGTAGATGCAGTTGGTCGTTGCCATGACCATAAACTTGGGCGGCTGGTCAAGTGGACTGCGCATGCTCAAGCAAACTGCGCATGCCCAGATGATTTATCTTAAAATTTGTTACTGAGCGAGCTCATTACTCCATAAGTGGTTCTAGTACATCCAGTTGCTCGTTGCCATGACCATGAACTTGGAGAGTTGGTGGAGTTGACTGTGCATGCTCAGATTAATTCTGAAGTAATTTGAAATTGGCACTTGTAGATGCGCAGAGCAAGTTTTCAATCATTTATTTATTTATTTTTGGCATGCTCTTTGTCTTCTAAAGCTTGTTTTGACAAATGCATATCAAACTCATCAACACTTTGTTAGGCCACTCGTAATATCTTTGTCAATATTAGAAATGTTTTTGTTTTTCTCTATAACTTTCTATTTGCATGCTGCATGTCATATCCAAGCTTTCCTTTGATTTGACGGAAAATTGTTTTTATTTACTTTTACACCTTCTGCCTTTATAATTAGACGTTCTGTGTTTCTAAAATAAGATTTATAAATTCCCCAAGAGCATCTTCTTTCTATTTTATGTCCACTATTTTACTCAAGCAATACTATGTCCGACCATTTGATTGTCCGAATTTTGTAATTTGATCTCATATTTTTGACACGTGTGTCTACTGTCTGGAAGGTGCATTTGGTAATTGTATTGTTACAGAGGTAGGGGGAATCAGTTACGTAGCAAGACCGTTCATTTAGTGCTGCTGTGCAAATATTTCAATGTTCATTCACTGTAAAAAACAATGCTAATGTTCTAAGCATTTCATATCAAAGCAAAACTCTCGGGATGGCCGCGCTATCAGAAACCTCTTGTCAGCTTTATGTGCAATGCGAAATATTCGCTTTCGTTTAAAAGATCAACCAAAATCAAGGACATAGTATAAATTTGTTTTCTTCCTTGACTTTGGTATACGATCTATTCACATCAACATTTGTGGGGTATTTAGTGCAATTTTGATAAACTCTGCTGAGAAACATTTTGACTCTTGTTGTATACACTGACGTAGCTGGCCTGGTGTTCGTTGTTGCTTTGGGGTGGGGGTGCAAAATTCAAATATTCATGTTCTGTCTTGTTCATTTCATTGAAATCGATTGTTTTCTGCGGATGAAAAAACATGTTTTCATGAATATCTTCCCCATCACCACAACCAATTATCAATGCTAGCTAAGCTTTCGGTCGTAAAGCAATCGCTGTATTTTCTAACACCTTAGTCATTGTGCTCTCGAGATAAGTGGTGCATCACACACTTTCACACCCCGTAATTGGTATATAGCTTTAATCGAATCAGGGGGTACTTCCTCACCGTAGCAAACTTAGAACGTGGTTACCATTTACAGGGGGCTGAGAGGAAAGATTCAAAGAAGAAGAAAGGTGGTGGTATTTTCAGTCGAAGCAGCTTTAAGCGTCGATCCAGCGGACATAATTCAGAGATAATGGCTTCCGATATACAATTGTGTGAAAAGGACAGGATGGAATTGATGAGGAAAATAAAAAATAAGGAAATAACATCGGAGGAAGCATGGGATCAATTGAGAAGGTAAGAGTAGCTATGTAAGATTAGATTTATAAACTTTATTTAGCGTGGTATCTCATATGACTCTATTTCTAAATGGCCCCTTTTCTAAGAAGCCCCTTCTATCAAATAGACTACTCTATTTAACAAGCTCCCCCCTGGGAAAGCATACAATTCGTATATCAAGCTCGCCTTCTTTAGTAAGCTCTCTCTAATAAGCTTCACTCTTTAACAATGTTCCTTCACTCTAACAAGCTTCCCTCTCTAACAAGTTTCTCTCTCTAACAAGCTTCCTCTAAAAGCTGACTCTGAAAGCTCTTCGACGTTTTCACTTTCGACAGCTCGACGCTTTCGACGATGAGATTTTCGAAAGCCTTCGACGTAAGAGCCGATTCTATCAGTTTCGACGCTGAGCCTTCAGTTCTCGACAAAGCCTTCGTTGAGTTTCTTCGAGCAAGATGAGGACTTTCGAGATTCTCGGACGCCGATTTCGAAAAGCGAGTTTCGGATTTTCGACCTGGACGGTTTCGACTTCGACGCGACGCGACAGCGATTGTTCTCGACGCTCTCGACGCTGACGCTTCGACTTCGACGAGAAAACTCGGGTTTTTAACAGCTGGACAGTTCTACCATTAACGGGACGCCGACGCGAAGTTTCGACAAAAGCGATTTATGGACAGTTTCGATCCAAGACTTTTCGACGACTCTTCTAACAAGCTTCTCTCTCTAACAAGATTCTCTCTTAACAAGCTTCCCTCTCTAACAAGCTTCTCTTTCTAGCAAGCTTCCCTCTCTAACAAGCTTCCCTCTCTAACAAGATTCCCTCTCTATCAAGCTTCCCTGTCTAGTCAGCCTCCTCTCTCAGACAAGCCACTTCTTTAAAAGGCTCTCCTCTTAAAAAACCCATCTCTCCAACAAGACTTCTATTGAGAAAACAGAAAATATAGTAGGCTCCCCTCTCTATTAAGTCTACACCAGTGATCTAAAAAGCGATGGAATGTCTGTAATCATGGAATTTTTTGATTGTTTGTTTCCGATTTTAATTTCTAAGCGTTAAGTTGCTGCTCTGTACAAATATATGTTGTGGATCAATGGCTCATTGAGAGAAACCAAAAAATAATGATCGCATTCTCTTGAAAAGCATTCATCAAGAATTGCTCAACATTACTGTAAAATAATTTCTTTCTTCTTTTGGTCGTCTTTGATAATATGTTGAATAATTCGGGATAATATTGGATCTCTGTCAACCTTAACGCTGACATCGAATCAGTTGGGATCATTCATCCAATTCTTTAGTTGTATAAATCGTAATGAATTGTCGTAATATTGTGTAGATTTGGCAACAAACGGGACAATAAAATCAAATCAAAAGGTTCAACGAAAGGATCAAAATCGCCAAAGACAAAAGATTCAAGAATATCAGCGTCAACTGTTCAACTTTGCAACACATCAACTTTCTACACAGGTTCGTCTTTGACAACGTAAACTAGTGTGTTGTTTTACACCAATGACAATCATCAAGCTTGTCTGTCATGCGTTGACATTGACCGGAAGTAAATACGTTGTTTTACACCAATGATTGTCATCAAGCTTACCCTGCATAGACATTAACCGGAAGTAAATATGTTTGTTGCCTATTGCAGTTGTCAAGCATGTCTAAAGCCTAGTTCACATATAATAGTAGTTGTTGTAATTTCAGGCGATTCTTTCAAACTAGTGTCAAATTTACATGCGGCTTTTCATCGCTTATATTTCATAAAAAACGCCCAGGTTAGGTTTTTGTGACAAGCTTTCTCATTGGCAAGGTTTGGTCAAGGGATTTTGATGATTTATCGTAAAAGAAATGAAAAGAAAAAATGAAATTGCCATTGACGATTAGCGTTCACGTATAAATTTCTTAAGTCGGCGACTGTTGTAATTGTTGTAAACCATCATCGCCGGCAGAATTACAATAATTACAACTATATGTGAACTAGGCTTAACATGAAAATTGACCGGAAGTAAATATGTTGTAGCCCGCCTTTGACAGTCAACAAGCTTGTCCTACACATGCGATGCCGACGGAAGTCGTTGAGTGTAGGAGTATCACGTGTTTCGCGACATCTTTTGCTACTTTGTCTTGTCAAGTAAAACCAATTTATCATTATTTTTATCGCAATTTTTCAGATTCTAATGTGGACATTTCTCAAAGCACAAGCAATATCCCTTCTTCGACTGCCTCGGACTCATCACCAGATTCAACCCCAGGACTATCTCGCAAACACAGAGTGGACACTGACAGTAGTGAAACTGTAGGTTTAGTTTTCATGTTTTCTAATATCTTCCGTTCAGACCTTCGCTACTCGTTTGGACACTCTTTTTATAATAAATGAAGGCGACTTCTTACCATGAATTTTAACCTAAGAATGTCTTCGTGAATGTGTAATCGTGACTATTTTTTGTTCCGTTTTAGCTTTGTTCCAGTGGTAGTGTCGAATTTGATACAAACGTTCAAGGTATATGTGCGCTTCACTCCTCCCCGGAATTTTTTATCGAGGAAGAAACCTTCGTTGAATTACTGTGTTTTTTATATTGAATTACTGAGTTACATATGTTTTTTTCTATGATTTACATTTTCCTATATTTTCTCGTTTTTCACAGTTTCTCATCATGGTCTTTCACCGGCGTCTTCAAAATTTCCAAAGAACGATGTTCGACGAGCGGCTTCCGAGAAAAAAAGAACAAATAAGATGAATGAGGAGCAAAATCGTCGCAGTACCATATCCAACTCGGATTTAAACAACGTATCTTCGGGTAGTCTTTCTCACTCACAAGAAAACGTCAATAATCAGCCTCCCATTCCGCCATCGAAAAGCCACCACGAGCTAACATCGGTAAAACATCCCATCGGGTTTGCGGACCCCGGACATTTCGGTAGTGCCGGGAAATCACCGCAAATCGATAGGAAATCGAAACCGGATATTATTACCAAACAACATGAAGGAGGAAAACCTGTTTTACCACCCAAGCCGGCTCTCCCAAGTAAACCATCGAAACTTCCTCCTAAGCCGATGACATCTAAAAGTTTACCTAGAAACGCCCCCCTTTTGTCTGTTGCCAACGGCAATTTAATTGAAGATGCCACACAAGATACGAGGACTAAAGGCGAGGTGACGTCACAGGTTTTGACGTCACGGCAGGCAAGGAAGGTGCCACCAAAACCATCGCCTGCGACTAGGGTTTCCGCCATAAACCAAGTGGAACTAAACTTTGGAAATGATCGAGAAGAAACTTGAAGAAGAAGGAGTTGATTTATTACAAGATCCTTATACAAATCAGGTAGGATTTTGGTTGTGAAAGTCGTTAGTACTGCACATACGCTTAATGATTTTCCTTAAAATGCTTATGGAAAGAATGATTAACGGCTAAATTATTTTCGAGCAATGATTTAATTTATAACCTGTTTATGTTAAATAGTTAACTAGATATGTGGAAAACGGGAGGTTCTTTGCATTCCTCCCCGGATGTAATACGTAGAAATCCTGCAAGGTTGGATGAGAGTGGCGCAAATGTATAATGTTTAGGACCAAAGACTAAAGGGTTGTGATTAGTAGAATAAGTTTTTCATGAAGTATTGCATAAATGACATCACATTATGATTTCATGAAGTATCATAGAAATGGTGACATTACAGTAGGTCTCTATTATTATACATGTATAAATAGTATTCAATAGTTAAAACAATGTCAAGTTTTGCCAATCACAAACATCCGCCATTTTAATATTTTCTTGTTGTTTTTGTTGTACCAGAATGGTAAATGGGGTGTTCCCATGACGCTGGTTGATCGATATTCCCGCGAGTTGAAGACGACGATGAGAGAAGTTGCCAAGGAAATGGATCATATAAGGGTGGAAAAATTAGATCATGTTAAGAAAAAGGCGGTGAGTTTTCATAAATATTTCATGACATTATAAAGCTTCTTTATTACGCGTCGTCCTTGTTTGATATGGTTTGTTTTGGTGTTAACCATTAAGGCGGTGTAAAAGATGAAAACTTCAATTATTATCTATTTAGTCCTTGTTTGATGTGGTTTGTTTTGGTGTTAGCCATTAAGGCGGTGTAAAAGATGAAAACTTCAATTATTATCTATTTAGTCCTTGTTTGATGTGGTTTGTTTTGATGTTAGCCATTAAGGCGGTGTAAAGGATGAAAACTTCAATTATTATCTATTTAGTCCTTGTTTGATGTGGTTTGTTTTGATGTTAACCATTAAGGCGGTGTAAAAGATGAAAACTTCAATTATTATCTATTTAGTCCTTGTTTGATGTGGTTTGTTTTGGTGTTAGCCATTAAGGCGGTGTAAAAGATGAAAACTTCAATTATTATCTATTTAGTCCTTGTTTGATGTGGTTTGTTTTGATGTTAGCCATTAAGGTGATGTAAAAGATGAAAACTTCAATTATTATCTATTTAGTCCTTGTTTGATGTGGTTTGTTTTGATGTTAGCCATTAAGGCGGTGTAAAAGATGAAAACTTCAATTATTATCTATTTAGTCCTTGTTTGATGTGGTTTGTTTTGATGTTAGCCATTAAGGCGGTGTAAAAGATGAAAACTTCAATTATTATCTATTTAGTCCTTGTTTGATGTGGTTTGTTTTGATGTTAGCCATTAAGGCGGTGTAAAAGATGAAAACTTCAATTATTATCTATTTAGTCCTTGTTTGATGTGGTTTGTTTTGATGTTAGCCATTAAGGCGGTGTGAAGGATGAAAACTTCAATTATTATGTATTTAGATGATCATATGCTTGTTATGTCTTTGTTCGTGCTTAAGATAAGACGTGAAAATCTGACTGAGTACAATTTAGCCTTTGCATTTTATTTATAATCGAGACATGTAAATTTTTGCCCGCATTGAAGGTTTTTTGCATTTGTCGTAGCCCAGAAAGTAGAATAATCGTCGCACTAGAGGTAGACATGCCAAATGAAACGGTTTTTTATTTTTTCTGTAAGGTTCCATGTGATATTTCCAGTCTTCGCTTCGCTCCAGATGTTGTGGGAAAACTTAGTTCAGTGGTGGACTGGTTGACGTCACTTGGACTGCCAATGTACATAGAAAATTTTCTGGAAGAAGGATACGATGATATGAGTATTGTACCCTATCTTTCACACGACCATCTTCGTCATGCAAATATCACAAATACTGATCATATCGCTAGACTTATTCGATCCCTTGAAAACATGGCCCCAGACACTCACTCTTACAATGGAGATTGACGAGGCCCCAGACCTCTCCTCTTACAATGGAGATTAAAGAGGCCGCAGACTTCTCCTCTTACGACGGAGGTTGATGAGGCCCATACCCTAGTCGTGTCGTGTACATTAACTAGGTCAAATGACTCAAATCTCGCTCACGACTTGTCGATAATTATTAGAAATGATAATGTATTTATATATTTTGATTCGGCTTTACGAAAGCTCGACATTGCTGCCCAAGGGATGTTCAAAATTATAATAGATGTCGATTTAACGACTGATGTAGGAAACGAACCTCGTGTCCAGGAGAAAGGACAATGGGTACGAGGTTGACACCATTGAACTGTCTTTTGAATCTGGAGTGCTCTCTTTGTTGTTGCAATCCTTAAAGCCGAAATTTAAGTTTTCTTGAGTTTTTAGATATAATTTCCATGAAATAATCTTAAAGAATGAACAAAGATCTATATAAAATGCAGTTGCAAAAACTGCCATGATACGTTTTACCTCACGAGCTCGGTTAAATAACGAAAATATTCTGATATGAATGCGTCTTAGTGTGCATCAGATGATTTATAGCACTTTCTTATAGTTAGTGTTCCAGTTTATATTATAGTTCAATGGTTGTCAGCCACCAAGCATCTCCAATAACATGCTTTTCAATAGTTTAGTGCGCTAAAACGTCATCGTACGTTTTCAACTATTTTTGTGTAGAAAAAACTAACTTCTTTCAAACCTGTTTGCTTTGGTTTGCATGCCAATATTATAAATCTATTCATGATTGTGGAATTTGTGAATCGTATTTGGCGACATTTTGTCGAATGAATTTAGTTATACACAAGTCTTAAATTCTTTTGAACTTATATATACTTGTCACTTTTCTATAATAATTTCGATATGATAAATCCTACAATGATGCAATAACATTTTTACATATATTATTTATTGAGAAATAAATTAGAATTTATCTGTGTTGAATATTTTACATATGACAATAAATAAATATTGGTATTTTAGTTTACGTATGCAAATATGCCGTGAAGTTATTCGCTTACATCATCACATGTGAATAGATTATATGTATCCGCGTCAGATTTATGTATTTATAGACTGGGTCTAGCATTTATCTTCTGAGGAACAGTCATCTATTCTCACTCACTTTCAACAAATCTTTTGTCAACATCTTTAAATCTTCAAACCTGATCTGTTTTGCAGACTTCATTAGCGCTGTCACAAATGCGTGCAAGGAATTCAATTTGCCAGGATATTTTGATTTGCACGAATAGGTACACTTGAGTTCGGTAATATTTGTTTATATCGCCGCTAGCACGATGTTCATATATGCAAAACATGTTGTATTAAAAATTCCTTTTAAAATCAAATTTTTTAATTTTACCCCGGATGAATGAATATCCTTTCCCAGTTATCAGGCAGCAATGCTAACGAGTCTTAATAGTAGACTTCCATTCGAATGCTATAGTGTACGCCCTTACTTTGATTACTTTTGTTAATTGAAGGGTAAGTTCTGTGAAACACGATCTGCACAAAAAAGAGATGTGCTCGAATTATCATGAATATGAACAGTGACACTGATCAAGTTGTTGGTTTGAAGACTCTTAAGAAAAGGAAGAAAGGCCAAAAAGCAAGGCTAGAATGATTTAAAAATTATTAAAGAATGCGGCCTCTCTGTCACTTACTAACTTCTTCTCTTTAATAGTGACAACTGAATAATGAACATTGCAAGTAGTCATTGGCTAACACAATCACGTTCAAATAATTTCAAACAAATAAAGCTGGCAAAGTCCCTTTCAAGCAAAATTTGCAACTCACAATTAAAGTTGAAGGATCTTATATATATATCATGAAAAGAATATTACATAGACTCTGGTAACAATGTTGCTTAACACATGAATTGACTAAATTTGTATCAGTGGAAAAAAATTTCAGTGACGAAAACAGAATTTTGTTTTATTTTCTACAGACTTACGCTATTACAGTAAAAAGAATTGTCAACGACGACATACATAGCTACATTGTTACTGTCACTTCTTGAATAAGGAATTAGCATCCAGCTAACCCCAGCGCCTCCACGATACCTACGTTTCCATACGAGGATTGAACTTAGCACGAAAACGAGGATAAGAACGAGCTAGAGAATCTAAACGCACACGGTAACGTTTTCTTGCATTGTTTTTCCTATTCTTCTGATCCTTATGAAACGCAGGGTCGGTGATACCAATCGCTTCACTTTCATCATCACTGTAGGCTTGACAAAATCAATATGATATACAAATGAGAAGGATTGTTAGTTTACTTTCTTTTAAAACACTAAGTAATAACAAAAATGTAGCATGACTGCAAAATATATACCTGATTGTGGCAAGACAACCATTACGGCCAAAAGTGCACACAAAATAACCAACTTCATTTTATTTTCTTCTTCTTAACCTTCTTGTAAGAAACATTTACACTTTCTGATGCCAGCATCTCGAGTCTTGTGCTTTATAACTGTCCGTATTATGCAGATTTCTAGCTGTTTTTGTAATAAATTGAAAGACTGTTTTACTTGATAGATCGTTTTAAACAATCTAATTATAACAAATTACGATATGTTCCCATAGCGATTATCGCGCAAAACGGAAAGAATACGCTCAACAATTGATTCCAAATCCGCATCTATAATTTCAAGGAGTTGCAATTTCTTGATTTTTCATTCATAACTAAAGCAAATATTTTAACTAAATATTTTAAGTAATGATTAAAACTCTAAGTGTTCATACTCTGACGTCGTCGGGTAAATATCTCAAACGTCCCACTGAGCAATTATGAATCTATATCTCTCTCGAGTCATGAATGATGATAAAGCTGAAATGGGTGCAATGTCGCAATCATACTTGTCAGATAAAAATATTATTGTGACAAAACTGATCATGCATTTGCCAGGCAAAAAGCGAATTCTAACTATAAATAAATTACCCAACATAAACCCTTTTATGCGGCATATGTTATTACACTTCACACTAATTCACAATGATAATACACAATTGACACCCACACATTACAGCTAAAAATATCACACCTAAATCACACTTCACAACTAAAAACATTTCACTTCACACTAATTCACAATGATAATATACATTTCCTGCACACACAATACAATAACGTTAGAAGCAGATAACAAATACGGCTAACCTAACGTTAGTCAAACTCTATGACTCTGAAGATGACTACCGCTAAGGTTGTCGAAACGTCAGTCAACAACAACAAAAATAGTCCTTTTCAGGACTATACCAACCTGGACGATCTACATTTACAAAAATGTAAAAGTTTTATGTTGGGCAATTATATTTATACTTAGGATAAGATAGAAATACATCACATAGGTATTTGTTACTAATTGAAGATACAAAGGTTCGTCTTATGGTAACGAGTCGATGATTGATATACATTTCAATTATATTTTCCTTCATGAAATTCAATTACAGCTGATACGTGCAAAAATTTTGAGCGCTAGGAGCCAAAAGGAGTACAAAAAAAATGCAAAATATTTCAAATTCAGCAATCAAAAATTGCAAATTCAACCATAAAATTGCTTTAATTGTATAATTAGAGCCAAGGCTTAGACTCTCCAGCTGTGGTGCAATTATATTAAGTGCTGCTGTTACGTGGAATATTCGAATCCTGTGAAGCCGACACGTAAATTCTAAATTATGAACATTGCAAGTCTTGTAAGTTGTAAAAGCCTTTTTCAAAATATAGCATTTATCAATAGGGAGACATTTATCGCAAAGCAACAATTAGCAAGAATCTACAATGCCAGATAAAGGCGAAATAATGGATATATAAACCAACAATACATCCCACAAAAAATGTCAAACACAATTAAAACTTTAATTCTTGGTTATTTTTAACGTCGGCGTATTTCAAAGGCTGGTATAAAGAAAGCCGCGACCTCTTTGAAATTGTTGCTGCTGAAAATGAAATATTTTAAAAGCTGAATCCTGTTTTCTGACGACACGTTAGCATAACATGTAAAATTTTCATCGATTTTACTTTCCGTTCAAATTTTTGCAAGAGTGTTTCTTTCTGGTTTCCAGGCGAACCACATTATCATGTAAATCATGATATATTTAGTCAATCCGGTGCTAAGCAGTCATCCTCAATCGATGATATTGATATCTCTTGATTGCTTCGTACAACTGTTGTAGAAAATCACAGATGTGATAAAAGGCAAGTAATAAAATTTATGAATTTAACAACAATTTAATTTAATCCGTGCATGTAGAAAAAAGCCAATAAAAAACCAAATGAAACTTTGAATTTTATCTAAGGTTAATTAAAAAATCAGAGACTACAAATGTATATACACACAATGATATCACTCGACCATTTTATAAAGTTTCAAAACTATGAATAATTATGGGACTTGGGAAAGGTGAGCACGATCTATTACTAGAGATCAGACTAAAGTATGTAGCTCAGTGGCTTTAACATGGATATTATTTGGAGAGAGATTGATTCATATTTGTCCCTCGACTGCTTAACGGTTGATCGCGTAACACGGTTCGTCTGAATTTGAAAGATAAAGCGCAAAACTATAAAACGATTTATTACAACGCATGCACTGCTAGGTCAATAGCTGAAATTGCATTAGCCTTTGCAAACTGATCTGTGCTCAATCAAAAAACCAATCAAAGAGAATTTGCAAATCAATACGTGCCAGAAGAAATATTCAAATATTTATTTTATATCTAATCGTTTCGCATTATTATTTATTTGTAGAGGACATAAAAGATGGTCTTTTTCATGATTTAATTATACAAATCCTGGAGACGTTTGCGAGAACTCTTGCGCAGGTGCGAACTCTCGACTTTCATCCTAGGGCTTGTACTGATCTGCTTTCGAGTTCATCCAAAGATATCCTCGGTTTGCATAATGCAGCACAGTCTTTTTAAATCCTATTTAAGATTTCAAAAACGCCTTACAGAGAATAAGAAGTTTTGGGATTATCTGCACGGAATAGTATCTTTTTTTGTTAAGTAATTTGGAAGGTCATGGTTAATGAAGAAGAACATTAACATAGATAAATATTGTAGTATTCCGAATAAAATTTTTGTTTAAAGCAAAAATGACCAACAATAAAGTCACACGATGTACACTGAAAGAAAGTAAAAGTTAGCCGGGCATATCTCTATGGGTCATTGTATGCATGCAAAGAAAGAGATCTAGAAGAGTCCTCGTTGCCAATTTAACAGCAATGACTTTTGGAGAACATGTATGATTGCTGCCTTTAATTAGTTATGAAAAAGATTTGTAACGAAGCATCAAACGTCGTTGGTTAGCAGTAAAGGATCCTGGATGAAGTCCACTGGCTTTTCTTACAAGTTTTACTTTATGTCACATGCATATGTTACGTAGCAAGACCGTTTATTTAGAGCTGCTGTGCAAATATTTCAATGTTCATTCACTGTAAAAAAAACAATGTTAATGTTCTAAATATTTCATATCAAGACAAAACTCTCGGGATGGCCACGCGTTTTGAAACCTCTTGTCAACTTAATGTGCAATGCGAAATATTCGCTTTCGTTTAAAAGATCAACCGAAATCAAGGACATAGTATAAATTTGTTTTCTTCCTTGACTTTGGTATACGATCTATTCACATCAACAATTGAGGGGTATTTAGTGCAAGTTCGATAAACCCTGCTGAGAAACATTTTAACTCTTGTTGTACACAGTGACGTAGCCGGCCTGGTGTTCGTTGTTGCGTGGGGGTGGGGGTGCAAAATTCAAATATTCATGTTCTGTCTTGTTCATTTCATTGAAATCAATTGTTTTCTGCGGATTAAAAAACATGTATACATGAATATCTTTCCTCTCACCACAACCAATTATCAATGCTAGCTAAGCTTTCGGTTGTAAACAATCGCTGTATTTTCTAACACCTTAGTTATTGTGCTCGCGAGATAAGTGGTGCATCACACACTTTCACACCCGTAATAGGTATATAGTTTTAATCGAATCAGGGGGGTACTTCCTCACTATAGCAAACTTAGAACGTGGTTACCATTTACAGGGGGCTGAGAGGAAAGATTCAAAGAAGAAGAAAGGTGGTGGTATTTTCAGTCGAAGCAGCTTTAAGCGTCGATCCAGCGGACATAATTCAGAGATAATGGCTTCTAATATACAATTGTTTGACAAGGACAGGATGGAATTGATGAGGAAAATAAAAAATAAGGAAATAACATCGGAGGAAGCATGGGATCAATTGAGAAGGTACGAGTAGCTATGTAAGAATGGATTTATACTCTTTATTTAGCGTGGTATCTCATATGACTCTATTTCTAACAAGCTCCTTTTCCAAGAAGCCTGCCCTATCTAATAGACTACGCTATTTAACAAGCTGCCCCTGGGAAAGTATACAATTCGACAACTGTTCAACTTTGCAACACATCAACTTTCTACACAGGTTTGTCAACTGTTCAACTTTGCAACACATCAACTTTCTACTCAGGTTTGTCAACTGTTCAACTTTGCAACACATCAACTTTCTACACAGGTTCGTCAACTGTTCAACTTTGCAACACATCAAGTTTCTACACAGGTTTGTCAACTGTTCAACTTTGCAACACATCAACTTTCTACACAGATTTGTCAACTGTTCAACTTTGCAACACATCAACTTTCTACCAGGTTTGTCAACTGTTCAACTTTGCAACACATCAACTTTCTACTCAAGTTTGTCAACTGTTCAACTTTGCAACACATCAACTTTCTACACAGGTTTGTCAACTGTTCAACTTTGCAACACATCAACTTTCTACACAAGTTCGTCAACTGTTCAACTTTGCAAGACATCAACTTTCTACACAGGTTCGTCAACTGTTCAACTTTGCAACACATCAACTTTCTACACAAGTTCGTCAACTGTTCAACTTTGCAAGACATCAACTTTCTACACAGGTTCGTCAACTGTTCAACTTTGCAACACATCAACTTTCTACACAGGTTCGTCAACTGTTCAACTTTGCAACACATCAACTTTCTACACAAGTTCGTCAACTGTTCAACTTTGCAACACATCAACTTTCTACACAGGTTCGTCAACTGTTCAACTTTGCAACACATCAACTTTCTACACAAGTTCGTCAACTGTTCAACTTTGCAACACATCAAGTTTCTACACAGGTTTGTCAACTGTTCAACTTTGCAACACATCAACTTTCTACACAAGTTCGTCAACTGTTCAACTTTGCAACACATCAACTTTCTACACAGGTTCGATAACTGTTTAACTTTGCAACACATCAACTTTCTACTCAGGTTCGTCAACTGTTCAACTTTGCAACACATCAACTTTCTACTCAGGTTCGTCAACTGTTCAACTTTGCAACACATCAACTTTCTACTCAGGTTCGTCAACTGTTCAACTTTGCAACACATCAACTTTCTACACAGGTTTGTCAACTGTTCAACTTTGCAACACATCAAGTTTCTACACAGGTTTGTCAACTGTTCAACTTTGCAACACATCAACTTTCTACACAAGTTCGTCAACTGTTCAACTTTGCAACACATCAACTTTCTACACAGGTTCGTCAACTGATCAACTTTGCAACACATCAACTTTCTACACAGGTTCGTCAACTGATCAACTTTGCAACACATCAACTTTCTACACAGGTTCGTCTTTGACAACGCAAACTATAACCTACTAATGTGTTGATTTACACCAGTGACAATCATCAAGCTTAAAGATGACTACCGCTAAGGTTGTCGAAACGTCAGTCAAAAACAAAAACAGTCCTTCTCAAGACTATACCAACCTGGACGATGTACATTTACAAACATGTAACGATACTCTCGGGTTCAAACCATTTA